TGTCTATGGGAGGGAAACAGTTTCAGTCCCATCCAGAGGATAATAGTGATACCTCTTTTTTTGTTTTTTAAACTGAAATACTGAACTTGTCCTTGTCTTTCTTTTGTACCTGAAACCAGGTAGAATATTCCCATTTAACCAGACTACATGTTCATAGCTTTGGCCGTGTATATGGCTGCATGTATGAAAATGAGTCATCCCAGACTAGGTTGCCTGAGTCACCCCATCAGGAATGTGCTAGTCTGAACGCAATTCAATCTATTTCATGCAGTAGTACTATGAGGTCTTGGGCATTGGAGACAATTTCAGGGAAACTTGTCTTCTGAGTAATCTTATCTTTGATTTCCCAATAGTGTCTAAGAGCACAGCTGCTTTAATTGCCAGCTGTTTCAGCCACAAATTGTGTGAACATTTGCCCAGCTTGATATAGGTGAGGTTAGTAGGAACATTCAGTGTCTTGCAGACTCCTAATGAGCAACACCAGGAACAACCACATTTCTTGCAACAGCTTAGGGTTTGGCATCTGATTTCCTGGAGGAAATAATGGGGAAATAATTTTCTGTTGAGCTTGTATCTGCCCAGTTACTCACAGGTGTAAAAGCAGGGGTAATTCTTATGTTTGTTTTCTTTGAGGATGGATTGTACAAAGGGCTATTTGCCATTTTGCAGAAGGTTTATCAGAAGAAATTTAGAGTGCAAAATAATTATTAATAGCAAAGGGGTAAATTAAGACAGGCCAGGCACCATCAGAAGATTTATATCAGTTCATTGCAAGTGCTAGATAGATGTAAGTTATATCACTCTGTAACTGAAGGAGGGAAACATGTGGCTCCTAACCCCTGAAATGGGGCTTTCAGAATGTAAGTAGGGCACCTATTTCTGCCCACTAGTGATATATTAGGCTGAAGTGCCTCTGAATGGTGAGGAGGTGTTACAAGCCAAGGGAATACCATCAAGTGACCCATAAGAAATGGTAAACAAGGGGAGGTATATGAAAAGGTACCTGCCTCAGCAGCTGCTTCTTCCTGGGGAACTTTGGGAATGTTTTGTGCCAAGTCCTGCAACTTTGCTTAGGATAGACCTAGTTAAATGTGGGGATTTCGAAGGAGAAGTGTCAATCCTAATATGAGCACTTGTATTAACTCCTGCATGTGGAGTTTGTTGGGTTAGTCTGACTGTGGCAGTCTGGAAACTAGCTCAATTGCTTGAGCTGCTAATGAAAAAGCCAAGCTCGGCCATCTTGGAAGGAAAGGGTGGCAAGATTGGGGCAGTCTGTGGTAGAAAAGACAGAAGTTCCACCTAGGTCAGAGAGTGAAAATGAGGATGATGCTGATGGTATGCAGTCATCGCCTCCTGCTGTCTGCAATCTTCCCCCTGAGAGGAGGTACTGACCCTGCTTTTGGGAATAAACAGGTAATAAATGATGTGTAGACAATCTGGTACTGAGTACAGGATAACTTTCCCAAGCCTCAAAATAAATGAGCCAGAAGAGGTGCGTGCTACATGTAAAGCTGAATGAATGCTGTGGACACTTTCCATTCAAGTGTGTGGAGCTTTGAAACATCCACTTCAAAGTGTCCTGGAGAGCTGCAGCCAAGCAAGAGTCCTTTTATGTTTAGTTTTGCGTTTGCTGGGGGATAAACACCTTCTGTTTCACTGTTAGTAACAGCATAAGGTCGCTTGCCCATTTTATGCAGCAAAATTAGGACATCTTGATTTCCAAGTTATCATTATGGGATGCACTGGGTTTAGAACTTCGTTCACCTGGTGGGCAAGGGGATTAGGCTCCACAGGACATAACTCCTGTTAGTGTTAATGCTGTGCCAATGAAGGCAGCAGCTCTGCAGCACTGTGAATGCCCCCACCACCTCTTTGTCCAGAGGGTACTGAGGTATCCATGATGTGTCCTGCATAGCTGGAAGCAGCATCTTTTACACACTGTAATGCTTGTGAGCCAGTTGGCATATCCAATTTTTTTCTTTGACTTAATTAAATCTTGGAAATGGACAGCTGGAGCCAATGTTGTTGGCTTCAAACACTAACCTAACACCACCTGATCCAGGTGTGGAAGAGGAGGCTACCTGAGATCCCTTTCAGCTCCATATAGCTCATAGTCTTAAGAAAACAGTTTTTATCACCCAGATTCAGCACAAGATTTTAAGTGTTTTCAGGAAGTGATGATATAATTAACTAAAACCATGTTGTGTTGTGGTTTTGTTTTTTTTTTTCACCCCAGGATGGTATTAGACAACACAATATGCCATGGAACTATTGACAGTCTGGCCACTACAGCACCAAGGCTGAGCTCCACAGAAAGAAACTCTGTGATTCTGAGCTCACCCTGAACACTCAGCCCAAGCACTGTTCATGCTGGGTGTGAATGGGCTGGCCCTTGCCCACTGCCAGGAGAGGTGGAGGCCAAGAACTGTAAGCCCCCCCGGAGCCCACAGCACTTCACCAGGCAGGTTAAAGGAAAACAGACCAGGTTCTCCCAGAATTTTGTTGCAATTGCACAATTTCAGTAAAACTTCCATTGAAATATAAAGTCAAATGAATGGAAATATTCCATCTATAGCACCACCTAGACCTCTTAGTGAGTAATTGCTGACTAGTTTTATTTACTATTATGTCAGCCATTGAGGAGGGTTTAAAGAAAATGAACACCAGATCCAACTACTCTGACTTAGGCCTGCTGCCCTTGTTTAAGATAGATGCTATTGAAGAGCCTTTGATTATTTATGAACTAGAGATTACTTTGCCCTCTAATGAACACCCCATTTTTTGCCCCTTACTACATCCAGAGCTGAAATATTCATTACTTCTGGTTTTGCTTTTTTCTATATCACTTCTGGCACTCTTGAAACATCCATTTAATGACATACCTCTACGGCCACTAAAATTTCTAACATTTTCATGGATTTTATTTTTTCTTCCTTGAAGACACACCTTTTACTTTTCTTTAACTCCCCTCATTCATTTACTATAACTGTAATTGTTTAATTAAAATAGCCTCCTGACACAAAGAAATTATACCTCAAGCGTCATCCAGACAGAGCAGAGCTGATGCTGCAGGGAATGAGGGCTGCCTAACTAGAAGGGAAGGAGAGGTCAGGGTGGATGTTTGCGGAATAGGTGTTGAGCATGTGTCTGGGGCTGCAGTGCCTCCCTCATTAGCAGGCAGGCTGCAAATGCTGGCTGGCCACGGGCATGGTTCTCACATGAGCTCATTGGTGCTGGAGCTGCATGCAGACCAGTATATTTTGGGCTGTGAGTATGCATCAGACAAGTATGTAACAGCGGGAAAACCTGCAGCTGCAATGATAGGAAGCATTTATACATAGTGGTACTATGTGGTGTGGGCTCCTATACTATAGTTAGCAATATTCTATATATAGTCCCATACTATATTTAGTTGCCATACCATGTATCCCAGCTAATCCAAAGAATGAGGCATTCAATAGTCACAGATAACCCCACTTTTAACACCAGCCATCCACCATACATGATGACATCAATGCAGCTCCACGAATAGAGGAAAACAGGGAATGCCAAAGGGTTATTATATGAAGGGGCTGCCATCTTGCTCATCTGCGAATACATGGATACACAAATTTCTCTCTTAAAAGGGAATGAAGTTTTAGCAATACCTGTGTTAAGGATACCACCTTGACTCCGCTTGGTTTTCAAACAAAAATTCTTCTGCTAGACTAAAGCAGATGAAGAATAATCTGTAGTCTTCAAAAAATTAATTTATTATACATTAATGGATGGTCTAATAATAAAAATCCTCACCAAACCTATTGTCAACATTGCAAAATGAATAAGAAACTCCAACAACCAGCATTCCCAGCAGTGCTAATAGTTAGTGAGCAATACTGCCCTTACTGCCAGAGTGTGCAGCAGCTGCATATCACTGTCTTCATTGTATTTCAACTCAAATCCTCAACATTTTACAGCCCCTCTACCCATGTCTTTTTTTTCCCATAAAAAGGCAATGAGTTATGCCATAGTTCTGTTACTTTTCTTGAGGTCATCTATATATTTTGGGTGGACTACATGAATTCCTAAGTCTCTACACTCAACTGTAGTCACAATATGTGTCTTAACTCTGAAGTAAAGATGCAGTTACCATTTCATACATACAACTCTCAGTAACAGGAAGAGAGGTATGGAGGTGTTTTATTATTAATTCTTCTCCATGTTAAAGGTCTCTTCAGTAATAAAGCAACATTGTTTGTATTAATCTGCTTAAACTAAAAATATTATTGGCACTATTTTCTTTAAAAAATGCAAAGCCAGACTTAGCATTCATAAGGAAGTGTTTCCCAGTATATTAAGGATACAGTACTCAAGTGAGCAGATAATACCGCTCAGAAAGGTAACATTTGACATGAAATACGTATATTCCTTTCCAGTTAATCTGTAAGTGTACACAATTTATACACAAACAGACACACAAGTAAACAGAATTTTGTGTGAAGACAAGGTGGGAGCACAGACAACTTTCGAGTACTTCACAGGTTTTTGAGTAAAATCTGTTTACTCAACAGATTTCTGAGTCAGAAAATGAAAACTCATTTTACATGAGCTTGGATCTGTGTAAGCGTGACAAACCCAACAGTGGCACCTTCCCACTCGTTCCCTCTGCTCAGGAGTCAGCACGACCTCTCTGGCTGATTTCCCTTGTTGTGTGCAGAGAGCATATGTAGTGAGTACTCCACAACACAGCCCAACTCATGATTTGACTGTTAATTAAACATGAATATAGCATGGAATGCAACATTTTTTCCTTGTCTTGCACAGCTGTATATCATGATACACTTGAGATTGTCAATAGTGCTGTCATCCTCGCATAACTCAACTGTACAGGATGTTGCTGAATGCTGATGTATGCATAGACAAGATGAGGTACAGCAACTGAGCAAATAATTCAAATTTGTGGCGTACAATGGTATCACAAAACTTCAAGAGATGCATTAAGAATTATCAAGAGGAAAACATCTTAAAATTTATTATAATGCAAGTAGTAAACATAGGAATGTGTTTTTACACAGGTGGCAGTTAGGGCTTGCTACAGGTATATTTCAACCACTGGTGAATAAAACCAGTTCTTTTACAAACCCACTAATTCAATATGCTTCCTTCAAAATAATATTAAGCGTGTGGCTATGAAAACAGAGTGACACATAAAAAAATTAAAAAATCATATACCACAGGATAACATTTTTATGACTAGAGGAAAACAAAAAAATTATGTACATAAATACATATATTTTTATATATAGCAAATTACAGTTTCCTGCACTGAACATTTATCAAATACACAAGTACTGAACAATACTGGATAGGGTGCTTTGTCACACCTTGTGGTCTTCTTAAATTCCTGTGAGAGTGGAAGACAAGTTTTTATGGAGGATACAACTTGTTCAGTGATGTAAGCTCACACAATAATTAAAAATTAAAGAACAAAAAAAATCCTACTGCAGAAATGACTGATATTTCCAGCACAGGCATCTTTAAAAACAAAATGAGAATACTCTACTGTTCTTCAAGCACTTGCCCCAAAAGACAATCTGTGTCAGAGAGCTTTATTCTGTACAACAGCTGGATGATGAATCAGGGCAACAAATCTAACACTCAGCTTCGTGCAATGGCCTGTCAAAGCCACTGTCTTTCTGATAGGCAGGTCAGTCTATCAGGCATGGAGGAATCACCTTCCAGATCCCCTCCAGAAACTGTACCATTTCTCTTGGACCTGGGCATCCACTCCCATGACCTTCAGATGGAAAAGGAGGCACTGGCCAGTTTTCTGGCCGTTACCTTTCCAAGGCTCCAGGAACTGTAGTTACGATCATCATGGGAGATTTTGAAAGGGGTGACACCAAGCTATTTTTGAGAAATATGTACAGAGTTATTTTGGTTTTGAAAACAGAAAGCATTCACACCACACTTTTCATTTCACCTGGCCAGAAATGCTAAGCTCAGATTCCTAATGCATAAATAACAATCCTTATTGACAAGGATGGTGTAGACTCTGTTGGGTTCTCGTAACCTTACCAGAAACTGTCTTCAAAGTACTGCAGTTGCTAGCTAGGAATAACAATCCCATTCAGATGTTCTTCAGAGCACACAATACAAATATTTTTGTTATAAAAAGCACTTGGTTGTTTTCACAGGTTAATGATGTCTTGAACTTGGGGGATTGTAAATCCAGTCCATTACAATAAGAGTCATACTCACAAGCATGAAGATTATGCCAACTATGAGGAAAATTAGAGCCTGCAATTAGAAAATGACATTTAATTAATAAAACAAGTGACTTAGCAGGGGGTAGCTCATAGATTGCCCCACTGGATCTGCATTAGTGTAATACCCATGGCCTAAGTTTGGCTTATTCTATGTGACTAAAGTCCAAGTAATGTTGTACAGGGATGCATGAATCAAAGTTAGTCCTGTGTGAATTTCAGTCCAAGAGAGATGGATTTTACACAGCTAGATCTGAAAACAACCCACTTTGGTACTGTGAACAATAATAAAAAATATACAACAAAGAAACAAATTTGTTTTTTATGATTAAAAAATGACAAATTTTCAGTCAGTGGTCATAGTCTCCAGCAAGAAGAACAACTTCAGATTTAGCCTGCTTAATCCTTATTAGACAAACATGTAAGCCCACATCTCTCATCTGACAGTGTTTCTGTACATATTCAAGTGATTCAGATGTTTGTAGTCACCATTTGCTTTAGTGGAGCTTTAGTTTACCATAATCTGTCCACACTTAATAACACTCTGTCCTTGTAAACAAAAGATGAATATTGTATGTGATCTCAGTGCAGGGTGTGAAATTCTAGATGTGCCTAACACACAGCAACATGAAGAGTGAACAAAGACATGACAAAATATTCAATCTTTCTACAATAACAGCTTCAAAAAACATTGTAGAAATAATTTTGTCATAATAAATTTATTTTATACTAGAAATATGTATCAGTTACACTCACATGACTTTTGTGAACATATATATATATAGATGTATATAAGCCCATTTGTTTACATTATGTGTCCACATACATATTTCATCAATAGGTTTTCTAATTACATTTTCAAAGAACATTTCCTCAGTGATAGTTAAATCTGCAGACAGTTATTGATGTTCAGGATGAAAGGTATTGCAGTGGCAGTCCAGCATGACATACAGACACATGCTGTGCATAAATGATAGACCTTCATGTATGTATCCTATAGGTGCGTGGATCTATCTCAGTGGAGAGCTCACTATTACTTATTTATCTCTGCAGTACAACTTCCTTCTTAACCTTGACCTCAAATCTTCCTGTTAATCCACAGCTGGTCATCTAGCATGAACCAACAAATTCTTATAGACTGTCTTGGTGCTATTTATGCAAATGTAGGTGTTAATTGGAGTTTAGATGGGATTAAAGTAAGTCCCTTTTTCTAGTGGTTTAAGACACACTTTATCCTGAATACTTAGGTGAGTGTTGGGAGCAGTAGGCCTCTAAAGGCTTTGTCTTGAGAAGCCTCAGGTGAATCCCACTGCCCAACCTGTATTTTGAGTGAGGCAGTACTGCTCAGGACCAAGTGCCAGATGTTGCAAGTCAATGGTCTGAGTATTAATCAAGAGTGGAAATCACACACCCTCCCACTCTTCCTTTTGCAATTGCCCCAGTCCTCTTACCCCAATCTTCTGGGGAGACCTCAGGGGTTCCTTCTTAACAATTCTCAGGTAGAAGGCACCAGGGAGGATGAAAATCAACATTGTAGCTGAAGAGGCTCCTGGAAGAGAGAGCAGAGCTGAGTGCTGCACCATTTGCAGAAGAGCAGAGTGGTGCATCTGCAAAAGAGAGCCCGTGGGGAGGCAGCTGCCCTTCTGAGCCAGGCTGTACTAAGGGGTCTCTCTGTTAACAGCATTCATGGAGACCTGTAGATGTTTGAACACTTATTTGGGTGCTTGGGGCCTGAAGAGACATTTGTTACTGGAAGGATTTTTTCAAAGTGGTGTGGCTGCCTGTGGTGGAGATGACTGCATGTCAGCGGAAGCCTGTCTGCTGTCAGATGAAGCAAAGACAATAGACATTCCCAGGTTGGGATGACCCTGGAAAGCAGGTACTGAAAAGAGAGTGGATGATCTGTGCCTAAGAAGCACCGACTCCTCTCTGGTCAGCAGAGTCCAGCATGAAGACCTGCGTATAAAAGGCAGGGAGGAGCAAACCAGCTGCAGAAACCCCATGGAGGTACCTTGCTCAAGGGCATCTGCATCCCTGAGTCCTCAAACACTTCAGATAATGAAGGCTCTTTATGGACCTCTTTGGTCAGAGGCCAAAACTGACCAAAAGAAAGTTGTAGGGAGAGAACTGTTAATGTCAAAAAGAAAAAAAAAAGTGTCACTTTTCTTCTTTTTCTAGCACAACAGTTTAGAAGTCAATACATTTTTTTCATGCAATAAGTGCTTGGAAAACAAAGGTGATTTCCCTCTCCTCCACATATATTAAATTCCTTTCTGGTCAAAATGGGAATTCCTCAACAGTTTCTATATCAGGATTATTGGTTTTCTTGTGCCTCATGCAAAGTAACAACAAAGTTGGGTAGCTTGTAGCTTTGTCTGTCAGCTGTTTGGGAGTTATTTCATCACTTTTGACGTAAATTTGTATTTATATTACTCTACCGTAAGACTCAAACAGAGATTGACTTTCAGTCCATGAATGTAAATATGTTGTAGAAAGGATAACAGAGTCAACAAAGAGTATTTATGAAACCTACCGATAAATCCAAAAATGTCTTTAATAGTTGGGACAAAAATTACAAGCAGATTATTAAAAGCCAAAATTACTGCTGCAATCAGGAAATGCCTTATCCAGCTGAATGGCCTTTTGGGAAACAGCAATGCACTGATAGATGAACGGATCTGCAAGATGAAAGACAACAGGGAAAGTAAGACAACAATTAATTTATCTTTTCTTTCCGTTGAAAAAAATCTATATTAGTTACATCTGCTGTGAGAAATTCTGACTGAAAAAATGTGTTTTCAGTCTTTGATTCCCATAATATAATCTCACTCTGATGTAGGTTTTTGAGAACTGGGTTCACAGTTTAATGCAGAAACTCAAATATTTGCCGTGTAGGAGAAAGTCAAGTAAATAGGGTGTAAAATCAGGGACATGAAATCTGTTCAACTGAAAGATGCTAATATCAGCAAAAAAAATCCTCAGAGAACCTCCCCACTATAAGTACTAATCAGCAGGCAAAAAAAGATCATGTCTGAAATATGAATTGCTGTATTCCTGAGCCTGATGAAAATCCCACATAAATTCTGTAATTTACTCTTCTGAGAGATAGAGGAAGCTGTTGTACTTAATCATTAAATATATACATATACATATCTGAAAAGAAAAGCATATTTTTCAATGCCACTTGAAAATTATAATCCTAAAACCTATTGCAGAGAATTCTTTTTTGCTTCACTGACTTTCTCACACATCATGGATTCTTTTTGCTTTTACCACATAAAAGATGGTAAGTAGAAAAAAAGCCAAAAGCAAATCCATTTGGTAGTGGGAGATAATGCTATTCTCAAGTACCAAAATTAACTTAAAAGTTGATATTTAGAAATTGGACAAAAATATTTTTATACTTAAAAAATTCCAAATGCACTTCTGTGTGGTTGTTTTAAAATAACATAACTGCTTTTAGGTGAGTTTGGCAATTGAATAAATATATGGGGTTCTCTCAGTGTAGTACCTCACTTGAAAACACACTATGAGTTTTTGTATTTTATGTTTTTCAGGTTGATGTAAACCAATATTAGGAAGAGGGAGGCAAATAGAAAATATTTTGTCCAGTTTTTGAGTTTGTGTAAAATAGGTTTATTACAGAAAAAATAAGCCTCCATTCCTGTGAGCTTACTGTCAACATATTGTGCATTATTCTTTTTGTGACACAGCCCTTAAAAGGAAGCAATCAAATTGAAGTTTTACAGTGACTAATGGTATATAGATGTATATTTAATTTATTTTCTGGCAACGCAATAACTTTTTTTTTTAATAAAGGACTCTGACTACTTCAAGAAAATACAAGTGGGATGATTAATTAAAAAAAGTAGTTGATATAGCTATACTGCTTATTTGAAGAACTAAGACCTGCTGAGATGGCTGTCCTGATAGAATGTGTAAATGTCTTTGATATTCTGGTTTACAAGCAAAAGATATTTTCTCAGGAGTAATTTTAATGGAAAAATCAGTGTTGTGGTTTGTAACTGCAAAGTATTCAAATATAAAAATTATTATACAGAAATCTAAAAAATACAAAATGCTACACCTGACAGACAGGCTTCTTCAATGCCCTTAGCTTGTTTTCCCATGAAGACTGTTCAATTTGTTAAGACTAATTTAAACATTTAGCCACTGGCTTAAACATGATGTTTAAGGCAGAGCAGAGGACCTCTCCAAGCTAAAAGGACTGACTGCTCAGGGTGCTTTATACCAGATTTTTTTTTTTTTTATTTAGTAGACAACATTGAAGAGTGATCACTGCTCTTAGGCATTTGTCAGCAAGCCTGGAAACAGTACCTACGCAGAGAGTGTATTGCATCCAGCACAACAGAGCAACAGGAATCCTGGGTTACTCAGATGGGAACACGGGTGTGATGCAGCTTGCTGGGAGCCCTCTTGCAGCATGATGCTGGGCTTGTACATGCTGTACTGATGACACACCAGCCTCAAAACCAAATGATGAGGATTAGCTGCTTTCTCCTCTGCTGCCTGGCAGCTCAGAGAAGACATGAGGCACAGTCTTATACATTCAGGAGCCTGGAGTTCTGCCCACTGTGGAAGACTGATCCCTGAGGAGGGTCAGTCCCTCTGCAGAGCAATTTCTGTAGCTGTGTCTTTCTGTCCCTGCTGCTGTGCTTATTGTGTTTTTCCCAGTAAAGAGCACACAGAAGTTCCAAACTTTGCTCAGACAACTGACTATGCAACTCTTTTATACCTCTTTTTTCTGGCATTTAGTTTCCTCACCTGTGCATAGACTCAAGCCTGTAAGGTGAGCATCGGGCCCTCTGTCCCTGTACTTTACAGCCCAGTGTGGGAGTCCTGCACAATGTGTGACCTAAGCTTCATGTGTCTGTCCTAAGTTTGGATGCTATAGTAGGTGCCTGTGTCTGTATTAGGAAATCTCATGAGTGGTTTCAGTATATCTCCAAGCCTTTGGTACTTAGCTCTGCTCTGACAAATATAGTACCGAAAGAGCCAGGGAGACAGAGAAGTAATTCCTGATATATTTATAAAGACTGATTTATTTCAGTCTTTCAGATTTTGCAGGCCTAAATGCCTAAGGTCCATGCTCTGGTCAAATGAGAAAACAGACCTCTCTAAATAAAAACTCAGGCTTACTTTTCCTCAGTGTTAAAATCTGTGCTGATCACATTCAGTCACTGTTCATGGGTTAGCCCTGATTTCAGCTCTGTTACTTACAGGGAAAAGGACAAGGGGCACGGTCAGGGTTACAGCCACCAGCACTGCCAGGCGAACTGACAGCAAAAGGGTGTCGAATGTGTACACTTTAGTGTATGTATGAAGAAGCTCATCTTCAACTTCTCCTATGAAAAGGAAACAGAAAAGAATTACATCACTTAAGCAGTACCTTCAACATTTAAAAGGTTCTTTATACTGCAGCCAGATAAGAGATAAGATTAACTTTAGCCCAGGTGCTGTCATTAGACGCAAGTTATGGGCTAGACATGAAAAAGGAATTTTCCCGTTGTGACTGATACTAGCCCATCATTCAGAGATGATGAGGGTAATACAGTACTCTAGTATCTTTGAGATGACTTTGAGAAAGTCATTAAGTGGATGTAGAACTTGAAGAAAAAATAATTTCTGTGATATGAAACAACTCACTGAACTGGTAACAGCTCCTTTTGACTTCCTCCCAGATATGTCAGCTCTCAAGCAGAGCCGTCTTGCCCCAGTGACAGGGAGCAGAGTGTGCTGTATCATTTACTTCTCTGCTGTGTGGAGGGACTAACAGGGTGAAAAGGTGGCGTTTGCACAAAATGGTGTGCTAACAGAGGGACTACTCTGTTTGCCTATCAGTTAGTTTAGCTCATCCAGTTTTTTTTTTACACTAGAATGATTTGCACCTGTTTTTCAGCATAGATGAAACTGAACTAGTGGCGTCAGAGACAGATTGGATAGCACTTAATAGTGTCATGTAAAACTGTTGAGCACTAGAGTATTTTTAGTTTACAGCAGCTTCTTGTCTGAGTTCACAAAGTCAAGGGAAACAAAACTAGTCCCCCTAGTAGGTGCCTTGGAATTTCTCACAGGTGAGGAACTTGTGGCCTGACAGTTGGATAAGTCTCACAGTTCACTCAGAAGGTTACACACTGTGTATTATAATTGAGTGTTGCTTAAACTTGGATTCAGGCCCCCATAATAAATGCAGAAAATGCATTAATACTTAAGTCTTTGTGATAGAACCAACCCGCCTGAATTAAAAAGTGAGGAAAAATTCTGCAGAGAACAGTGTTTTTACCTACCATAGAAGGTAAGATATCCAAACAGGGCAGCCAGAAGATACATGATAAGCATGCCAGTGATGGAGATGTTTGAGACATTCTGCATCCGCTTTCGGGAGCGACTGAAGTACAAAAGAAAGAGAATAACTGTCCTATAAAGCCTCTATTTGTACAAGAAGTGCTCTGAAGGGTCTTAGCTCTCTAACACACCCTCACCAGATAGAAAGTTAATAAGTTCATAGCAACTATATTAGTTACATAGAGTTCTTGATGCTTTACAACTCTGCAGTGCAGCACAGATTTATAAAATGTGTTGAAATTGCATTTCTAGTGCTTTTTCCGTGGCAACATAAAAAAGTGCCACATTATTTTGTATACCACTATTTATTAAATGTCAATCTCAAATGGTTTATTTTAGATTTAAAAAAAAAAGGCGGGACGAGAATTACAGGTCTGTTGACAATAATAGACAAGAGTTTTCAGCCATCTCCTATGAACATACCCTTAGATGTACATAGGGCTGTTCTGCAGGTTCAAGAACCCCTTGCAGATCACATCCTTCCTTCATAAATCTTTTGGTTAAAACAAATTTTCATCTTATAGGACCAGCAAGCATTTTCCCAAGTCATATTAAAATTTTTATGGCTTCTGAGGTTAAACCTACTGAAATAGGAGATAATGGTTCTTAATCTCCTTGAGTTTTGCAACACACCCTCCTGTGTGTTGCAATTATGCAATTTTTGCTGTTCAGCAAATGCCTTTTATTAGCCCTTCCCAGTTATGAACTCTGTGCTGTTTTAAGAAATTATATTTAATTTGTGATATTTGTTAAGCAAAACAGACTGAGTGAAGAGCCTATCTAAGACACCAAACCAAGGGCATCCCAAGAAACTTTAAGAGTAAGCAGCAACTGACACAGACACAGAACACATTTAGGTATTATTAGAAACTAGAATTATCTGTTTCAACCAAGTTCCCCAGTTTATTTCAGATCATTTGAAGGACTTTCCAGATTCCTTCTTTACTAAGTAACATTGATCAATGCAGTGGTTCTCTGTCACCAATATCTGACTATAAGACCAAAGCAAAGCCAAAATCTGCTTACTACGGAAAGCAATAATTCATTATCTTGTGGGTGTTCGCACACCAGCAATCAATGGACGGCATGTAGAAAATTGGAAGTACTGGACAAAATTTAAGAACCTTACTCTTTGAGTTCACTGTATATAGGTAGCACTTCAGGGTGGCATACGAATGCAAATGCCAGGATGGGTATTGCATAGGCAGTCTGTAAAATAAAGCTCCCATTAGTAAGAATGGTCACGGCTGTACCTCTGACTTTTGGCAGGCAGCACTTTAGCTGTGGTACAAGTGGTGGAAGACAAGTTCTACAGAACCTCCCTTACCCGTGAGTTGAACACAAAGTATTTTGGCTGGCACTTGTCACCATTGTCGCTGTGTGCTTCATATTCTACGCCGCTTTTCAGGGAGATATCTTTTGGCTCCTCAAGGCTTGGGAAGTGCCCAGCTGTGTTGTCCATCATGAAATTCACACCAGAACTGAGTGACTCATTTGATAACATGACCAGGTGCATTGGCACTGTGCTATTGGTGGCCGTCCAGTTTTCAACCCCGTGGTTCATGACAGGAAGAGGACAGGGAATTTGGGATTTCTTGAAGATCACCTACAAAAGAGTAGACAATGTAATCAGAAGAGTGCCACTATAGGAGATTACACATCTGTGGTATTCCAACAGAAGTATAAATAGACACTGAGGAAGAGAGGAAGCAAGAAACCAAGTGCTACCAATTCTGCTTCTTCTGCAAATATTTGTTGTTACTCTGCCTCTGCTGTTTTCCTGCTTAATTTTTTATTCTCAAGTGTTTTTTTAACCAATATTTTATTCTGACTTTATTCAGCAATACGTTGTTGATTTGATTCACTTGCAGGGGCTATTCTAACATAAAATTGCCACAGTATGAAGTATAAAAGTGTTTAAGGTTTACAGAGTCTGTATTTGTCTGGAGAAAATACCCAAACAGTCACCTACCACACTGACAAAGAAAACCATACAGGTCAGCGAAAACCCACTCGTATAACCAAGATAACCTGTGCAGCAAGAAAAACAAAACAAAACAGAATAAAATAGTTCAGTTACATAAAAATTCACAGTCCTAAAAGGACTAAGAAATGACCTTAAGCAGGGCATTAAGCTTACCTAAGCTTTTTAGAAGGGAGAGGGGAAGAATAATCACAACTGTTACAAGTATAACAAGGTAGTTCCCATTAAGGTACCATTCTCTAAAGAGGAAGAATTAAAAAAAAAAAAATCAAATCATCATTGACATCAAAGTGAAAATTTGTCATCTCAGGTTCAGGCTGGGAAAAGGCACCTACCCAGAATTCTCCTCAAGTTTCATAAATGCTCTGATGACTTCAGGAAGTTCATATTTAATAATAAAGAGGTAGCTTGACATTGCTGGAAAAAAACCCAAACAAAAAAACCACCTTCAGAGAACTGAGTTTCCAAAACTGTAGTTACAAAAAAAAATGTTTTTGCTAAAGTAGAGAAATTAGTTTTGCTTAAATAACAGTGTGACCAAATAAATAAATCCTTTATATTGTTATGAACATGTTCTTAATGACATCTAGCATTCTGTATTAGAATACAATACAGTTACTACTGAATTCATAGCATACTTAAATCACTATTAATTTTTCCTTTTGTTTTTTTTTTACATGGTTTTTTTCTCCAATGGATGCTGTCCATCCCCATTCTGCTGTAAGTTTAGATTTACTTCCTCTACATCTCTTCAGCTGTCTTATCCTTCCTACTTTCAACTTCTTTCTTCCAGTGTCTTCTCTATATATAAAGAAATTAAGTAGTTGTCAAGATTCCTGATGTAAGAGTGGACTTCTGTACATCTCATTTAAAATGTACTGCCAGAAGTAATACTTTTTAAATTTGTTTTTTTTCATTTGTTTTACATTTGTCACAGAGAGGTCTCTAAATGCCTATGGATCAGTCTAGACAAGAACTAGAGGAATAGCTATTCCTCTTTAATAGGAAAGCATACTTAATTTCTGAATTCAACCAATTTGATATCCAGGCTTGAAGGAGGAAAGGAATACCATAGAATAACACCTTTCATGAACAAAATCAAAAAGTCTTTTGCAGCACAGAGATGTGAACCACCTCTGTTTGTGCAGCAAAGTTGCTGTAACAGTATTGATCTATTGATGGAGATTTGCAAACATAGCAAGTTCCAATAGAGAAATCACCAAAAAACCTGCATAAATTTAATTGACTAATGGCACATTTAATTTAAGTTTCAATTACCTCTCCTTAAGGAATCTGTAAGAATTACAAACTCCCTTTTGCTTTCAGACTAGGTGCTCTTAAGCCTCCTAACAGGCTTCTTCCAGGATAGTAAAGGAAAAAAGCTTTGTTGAATTAATGTACCCTCTATCACTACTGTTTATATTGGTAAGTCTCCTGTTCTGAGAGGATGGAGGTTATTTGATAGATATTTCACAGGAAGTATCTTTGTGGGTGAGTACATTCAAAAGTTACTTTAAACACGCATTTTAGGAATAACACAACCCAACTTTTATTTGAAGGAATAATTAAAATATATTCATTCAGCTGAAAATGAACTACTGAAAAGCCTTTTATGCAGAAGTCAGAACCCTGTTCTGTTCCTTTCAGGTCAGACTAATATTTTCTAAGTTGAAGCAGATGCTTCAACTAGATGCTAAGAACAGACTGAGCCATACTCAATAAAGAGAATGGCCAGTTCCTTGAGGTCAGTCAGGCCACTTTAGCCATCATTGAAGCCTCTTCACTGGCCATGGAGAGATCCCAGGTAACTGTCTTTCACCATACACTGAAGTGTCAGCTGAAAATGAGACTAATTCCTCATATCCTTCATTTTACAATAGAATGTATGCTGTATCTGGCTCATCTCTGATTCCATTTAGCCAGACGGAGGAGGAAATGAAATCACTTGTCTTCTGTAGGAAGAGCATTGGAAGATAGAAAACTTTTGTCTCTTACCTCCAATATTCTGCATTGTGACTGAAATGAAAACACCACACTTCCCAGGCCAGCCAAATGCCTTTGCTCCCAGTTTTTCATATATTAATGATCCTGAAAAGAAACCCAAACAAAACCAAAACAGAAATGTGGGCCACTACATTGGACATACTTGATAAATTGCATTCCAAGGTAAAATAAGTGTATGCAGTACAGAATCTGTCAATCACAGCCTCCTACCTCCTTCTTTTGAAATCTTCAGTAAAAGGTGAACTGAGTAGAGTGACAAAATTGCTACGCTGAGCAGCAACACTCTGCAAGGAAAAGCAGAAATCAGAATCCTAAGCAGGACATCAGAGATACTCAAATGATTAGAATATACACTTGCTCGTTCTCGTGAAGTTCAATGTGTAGTTTTCTCAAAGTTTGTTCTTTGGTCTCCCAGTGCTAAATACAGAGCTAAGTGTCAACTGTAGCTTACTTGTGAGTACAGTTGCACCTTATGCACTCTAAGAGCCCCTGAAGGCTTGTTGAAGTCCACTAAGTGCTAGTTCTGTGCTAGTGCACAAGGACAAAATTTTATATCTTAACAAGATCCCACTAAAGTAAACAGATTTCTATGTAAGAATCTGGTCTTAGGATTTTCACCTGCCCACTGACCTCTCATCTTCAAATCTCTCCTTAATCAGAGCTGTCAAAAAACCCCACAAAAATGAAACCCAACACCAAATTGTGACTGGGACAACTTCAATGCTACCTCTTGGCTGGTCACTGCTTTTGACTTTTGCCATATCACTGTGCAGTGGAGGTTAGCTGCCTGCTGATGAGTACGTTAGAAATCTTGCATCATATTAAAGCATGGCACAACACTGGAAAACCTGCTCTTGGAGCACTGGTAGCTTAGCTTTTAGTCTTAGTCTGCTTGAAGGTACCAGTACCTGGCTTCAATAATTCTTGCTGCCATGTTCCTTCCACACAACAGATGCATCCTATGTGATTTCAGCTATCTGCCTCTTGTAAACTGCTTGTGAAAATGTAGCTTTGTATGACATTTTCGGGGCACAGCACTGTGCATGGCATATCTTATTACCTTAACTATCTTGTCATCTGCCTGCTCAAGCGCTGGTGAGGAAGAGAATAGCATGACAGAGATAGAAAATATGGATGCACTTTATCCCATGGCTGAACAGGAGGTTGTGCCCACAGCTTCCACTCCACTGAACACATGGTTTGGTATAGATAACAGGTTCATAAATGAGTTACAGTCTAGGAGCAGACTCGGGTCCTGGGGCCAGGTGATGACCAGCAGACCATCAGAATTTCCTCTGAAGTTTGCCTCTTCAAGAGTGACAGAGAGTGCTACCACCTTGGTGTGGGCAGGGTTGTCTCCTGCTGTGGGCTCATGCAGTATGGTAAAGGGGATCATGTCTGAGGTGGCAGTGTGTCCTGATGAGGTGGCATCCTCTTTGATCGGGGTTCCCATGCAACTGCTGTTCAGAGACATGATCTCTGTGTCCTGACACTTGAGGTGGGGAAAACCAAAGTCCTCCTGGTTGCACATGCTAAATCTTGCAGGGCAGCAGAAGTGCTGCTTTTGAAGTTTTGTGAACCTTCTATTTTCCTTCACCCTGTAGAACACCTTCCAGCATTAAGGCACTTGGGCAACATGAGAAGAGTAAATTACAAAAATCTAGACCACGCTGCCAGCATCATCTAAATAAGAATTCATGTCCACTAGTTTCCATTTTGTAGATGGGATTTTTCTGACCCTCTAGCACTAACATCATGTGCTGTGAAAACAGAGGAACTTCAAGCAAGTGGATAATTGCTGTGGGGTAACAGTACCTACACACAAGTTAATATTTTTAAATAAAATTCCTTCCTGTACCAAAAGGGAGAATGTTCTCATGCAGGAAATATGAAAATAGCATAGTAAAGAAAGTGAGCTGTGTGGAGGAGATACCTTTCTTTTTTGCTTTAGCATTACTCCCTACTTTAGCAATGCCAACAGAGTTAATATCATTAGGCTTGTATCAGAATTTTTAGCTGCCAGTCAGTATAAACAGAGTTTCAGAATAAAGATATTATAAAGGTAATATTTTTTTTCTGTTAGTGAGGCTTAACATACCACAGTTTTCTTTCCAGTGATCATTTATGAACATACCACTTAGTACAAGTGATCAGAGAAGTTGGAGGACAAAAAAAAATCCTGCATTTTTCTGATCCTGGTAAAATGTGAGTTTTAGAACTGGCTCCTAATTTTTGCTCTGCAAACACTTTAGCTAAACCAGTTGGGTGCAGGTGTTATGAAGTGCTTATACAGAACAGCATTTGAATCTACAATTAATTTTCAGTTAAAAATTCTATTGGCAAAACAGGAGATATTTCTTAGCAACTGTAAGCTACATGTAACATTTTCAATACTGTCGATGTCATAGATACACAGTCCCCACAAGCAAGAAGCTCTATAAAAACATGCTAGAGTTCAGTAATGTCAAAAAATGCCTCATTGTCACACAGTAGTATCATGGTTATTCCAGTCTCATGGGAAGTTAAATTAAAGCTTCAGGTTAAAATTAAAATCAGTTATTAAAAAAATCCGCAAAATTTATTTTTGATACAGTATGTCACACTAAAAAGAGCCAGATATTAGCCATCAATTAAAAAATGAGCTATGTGTTACTGTCTATCAAAACCCATTCTGTGTAGATACTGTTTGTCGGCCACAGACCAATGCTGTCCTTTGTGGACATTGGGTACAGACAGACTTGAAGCAGCAACATCAGATCTGTGAATGCCTTTGCACTCAAAGTGTGTTGCCATTTCAGATTATATCGAATGCTCTTCTGCCATTTCTACATAGTGATTAGATAATTGGGGTGATGCAAACATATTTATGGGTGATTTAATTCCCCTGTTGGATTCCCATACTGAACTGGCAAGACTGGTCTTGTTATTTTAGGACCAGCATGCTGTTCTTTCCTTCTGATTTTTGACTGCACAGTATCAATTCACAGTCATGTTTCTAACACAAAGGAGGTGTAAATATTAAAGAAATAAAAGGGTTTCTAGCAGTGGATGGTTCCTTGTGGTGAAGCTGAAATGCTTTCACTACAGAGGATCTTACAAGAATCTTCTGCTAGCAAACCAAGATTAACATACCTTTCTAACCACAAAAACTTCAGCTCCAGTCCCCTGCTTATATTCTATGTGCTTCTTTTTCTATGTACTTACATGAAAAGGATAATTCCTGTGTTGGCCATGGCATAGGAGAGCCCTAAGATGCCGCTGCCCATGATGGCATTGCTGAGGTTGAACGAGGACATTCCAAAGGAAGTTCTGCCCCTGTGCTGTTGGGGGCAAGAACAGAAAATGGAAATTCATTTGCATATTACTGAGCATGACTGGCTAATTATCCTCATTGCTGTACAGGTGTTCCCTGTACTGCTCCTTGATCCCTACAGGTGAAGCTTTTTCAAGGTTCTCAAGCCCAGAGACACTTGCCACCATAAGAGTCTATCCAAAACCAGCTGTGCTGGTAGTGTTTGCCTCTTCCCACACTTTCACTGTCTCAGTCAAGAGGAGGCTTACATTCCTGACAGGTGACTTAGATGACACAGTTACACTGGCTATGCTGGCCAGGCTCCATGGAAATACATGCTGTTATCAAACAGATTTCTCAATTACCAATTTTTAAATATTAAAAAAAAAATAAGAGTATAAAAGATTATTGAATTTGTCTCCAAGTAGAATGTGCTTTTTTTCTTTGGGGAACTAAAAAAGGTGTCTGAGTAAAGGAAAAAAGGAGTGCTGCATGCTTAGGGCTGGAAGCAGAAGAGTGGAAGGGGACAAAACCTAGGAGGGTGTGGATGGTGTGTGAATGAGTTACAACAGACACTAAGTGGAAAAGAAAAAGGGAACATGGCTCTTAATTTTAGTTTATAATCACAAATGATATTTTTGACTTTATGTGATCATTCCTTAATAAAATTTGCAACACCACTGATGAAATAATGCCTTTCATTTCATCAAATTCACTAAAAATTGAGTAACACTAAATCCTGAGCAGAGAGGTTCCTACATGGATGCCCCAGGAGCTGGTGCTGTGCTTCCACTTGCATGTGGAGCTGTCTAGGGAGCTGGAAGTGTGCTGATGTCCTCAGCATCATAAAGCCAAAACAATAAGGTTATTTCTTTAAAGCAGTGCAGCTGAATGTAGATTCATTTACACAGATGCTATGAACTAGAAATACAAGCATGTATGCACTAAGGCACAGATCTACTTGGCTGTAGGAACAACAATGTCCTTCTGAGCCCAATGTCCTGTTAGAAAAATTAATGCAAAAACCCGTCTGCACATCTCAGCTGGGATTACACGGAGATGCTACTGAAGCTCAAGTGTGATGTAAGGAATTTTTCTGATGATTGTGAAGAAAGACTCAGTTTTACTTGTAAGACAACAGAAAGTGTTTGCTGCACTGTTAGAAAATGTGTTTACTCTTTGAAAGCCAAGACTATGCTTGGAGCTGGCCAGGCTCCAGAGTAATTTTGCTTACTGATAGTTTAAGAAAAAAATCAGGTCAATAAGATCAACTTTGTCATTATTCACTCATTCAAAAAATAATAAAACTTACATATTCTTCATTATAGTCTTCCAATTTCTTTTTATCCAGATATCCATTTGTAAGGAACTTCTGACTTTCTGCATCATCAGTAGCAAAGGGACTGAACACAAAGAAAAATAAGAAAACATTAGATAAAGCTTATGACACACATTTTATTTGAGTAGTTCCTTTTGTCATCAGTGGAAGCTTTCCTTTGACATTGCTATGAATATTTAAAAATCCATCAAATAAAAAGCTCTGTTCTCCTGTAAAGTTCTTATGTCCAATGGCATGTTTAGTAGATCTTTGCTTTGATTTGGAATTTAGTTTTAGAGCCAGTAATCTTCAAATTACACCTAATTGCAGATGTTGGAAAGCAGATCCGTACTGTCAGTAACACGCTGAAGCTGAGCACGTGCTTCACGTCTGGGGAGCAAAGGGCCTTGCAACTGCCCTGTTGGAGATACGTGCTGGAGGCAGCAGCAAGCTGAGGACAAGAGACTGATGGCTGGTTTTGAGATGTCTTTTTCCAGCCACACAGGTGCTAGTGCTGTGGTAGGTTCTGCTGGAATGTCTGAGGGTGGGCTGTCTCCGCTGCCCTCCATACCTTGCCCTGGGGAACATTCCTCCTCAGTGTGCTCAGTCTGAGCTGCTCTGAGAGTGCATTAATTACACATGTATTATCCGACTGGAGTAGCTGGAAATTGCCAAGGGTTAGTCTGTGCTGGAAGCCTGAAGATATCAGTCCATGTGGTGGCAGGCCAGGGAGGACCTGGGCTGCCTTGCTGTTCTAGGCACACTGTCCTCCAGAGCACAGAGCACGGAGGGTCAGTGCTGCAGGGAAACTTCCCAGATGCCATTAGTGAAGATTATTTATTGATTACTTCTTTCTAGCCTTAACAGAACAGATGAATGCTTACCTGCTAATTGCAGCCTTTTCGGAATCAGCCAGCTCTCTGTAGTTTTCTTCGAGGCTTTCCCCGCTGTTGCTCTGATCATCAGGTTTGATGTTGACTTTTTGCAGCTCCATGCGATCCATTAGAGCAGTCAGTGCTTTCCAGCACACACACTCGCTTCTTCAGGGTAAACAGCACAGTGCCGTCTGCTTGCAGGTCCTCTCTGTCATGCAGGGACTGCCAGAACACTCTGTTCCGCAAACAAAACACAACAGAACTCATTAGAGTTTTCTTCAAATTAGATAAACCAGTGTGAATTGTTTGGTTTGTGTTTGAGCTTTGTAATAGCATTAAGAGGCGAAACTGGTGCAGACTGGGAAAATTCTGGGCAAGCATAAAAGTCTCTTTATATGCCAGCACTTGGTTCTCCTGTCTCCCTTCAAATGGTAAAGGGTGCAGAGGCAAACAGATGCACAGCGGATATCCAGCATCTGGATAAATACAAAGCCAGCAGAAAATAATTCCCTGAACTGCTGCTTTGGAGTTTCTAGGGAAGGGTGATGCAGAAATGTTTTCTGATAAAAACAGGAGTATAGCAGTATAAAGGCTTTCCCATTTGTTGGAAGATTCGTGTTGTCACAGGTTTAAATGTTTTGTAGATTTGTTCCTTTCTGACAGAGGTGAGCATCTCTGTATGATCATTTTTTGATAATTAGGAGGTGCAATTCTAATAGGCCAGTTTCTGTTTTTAAGGGAAGTGATGTTTAATTCTTACTTCACTGGAAGCTCTGTCTCACACACGATTATTACATGGATATTAGATTGATTATCTTTACCCCATGAGAAAAATTCTTGCCTTTTATAAATCACATGAATAAATGCTCAACTCTTTATTTTTTGTATGGGCAGATGAAACTGTATGACCCAAATTTACAAAGAGAACTTCACCTCTGGGATTTCAGTGGCTGTGTGCTACAGACTCATCTGTAGATACACATGCAAATTCATTTGTTTATGATGAGATTTAAGAGGAAAACACTGTTCAAGAAATGCTGCAGTTCTTCAATCCTTCTCCCTTCCCAAGGATATTCCTTGATGCTTTCTCTATTTCCATTCCACAGCTGAGGGGACACCAGTGAAGGGAGTGAGCAGAGATCAGACAGCACACACTTGGGGCCACAGTTACAGTTTCCTGGACATTTACCTGCTGCCTTGCAATCAGGCATGCTGGCCAGATTAATGACAATTTTCATAAATATGACATCTCAAACACAGGTCAGCATTCCATAATAACAATATCAGAAAACACCGCAACAAATAATTTCTAAGTCTGGCTCTTTACAACACTAAATCTGCAATTATTTAATAGCCTTTCTCCTGGATTTGTATTTATGGGTGTGTAGAGGTCCAGCTCAATGACTTTTGCTCTCCTCTCATACCGATCACATGCAGTTCTTAAGAACATCTACAAGCATATCTGTAGTGGCAAGATCTTGGAGTGCATGTGTTTAAAATGCAAATATAAACTTTAATACCAGTCCTGGAGGTTAAAACTGACTCCAGGCCAGAAATTAATGTCAAATTCCTTGCTTCTTACTAAAAGCATTCACCCAGATCAGACAACTGAACAGGAGAAGCAATATCACAGTGCATTAGGAAATTTCCTACCAAAGACAGTGGCTGGCTTTAATTGTTTCTGCTGCCTCAAGGAGTGTTTCTATGTGTGAGGGAGTGAGTGACTCAGGCATCAGGGCAGAGCTGCTGGCACTCACATGTCAGTGCCTGGGGGATTCTGCTCACTTGGGATATGAATAACTCCATGAGATAAAAAACCAGTAACACCCTCCTCACCCCTCCACCCCCAACAGAGCCCTGACAACTGCGGTTTCATTCACAGAACTGTCTTCAAACACAGACACTGTCTTGTCTGAGAAAGAGAGTTTTTCCAGTTCTTGATGCTTGTTTTTAACCCGTGGTCTAGAAGTCAGGAAAACAAATCTAACTGTGCTTATCCCTGTTCTGGTAAAGGGTAAAACCTCGTCTGTGTGCACTGCCTAATTGTTGTTGAAAAAATATCTTTTCCAGAAGTAGCAGTCCAAAAAATACAGATCTTCAAAGAGATGGGAAATGAAGGAAAAGTAAGCAAAAATGTTGCCAGGAGTTAAGCTGCTCAAAGATTAGGCTGAGGATAAAAGCTTGTGCAGCACAGCAAACAATATGGAAAAATTTACTGAAAATACATGTTACAGCATAAGAATCATCTGGACATTGCCCTGTCAAACATTTACACAAGTCATCTGATTTATGGGTGTCATCTCAAGATACTATGTAATCACTGCATAATGCAATGATTGTCTATTTTATTGTTTCTAATCTTTGAATTCCTAAAAGTCTTCTGCTGAAAGTAAAATCTTCAGGTGGCAAAATTAAGTCTATTTAGAACGTGTTTTTTTGCAGTTGTAATTTATTAGGGAGAGGCTGGTAGAACTCCAGAGGTTTGCAAACCATGAGCTGAAAGCCGTTGGCATAAATGTGGGGAGAGTGAGACCCATAAACAGGCCTGCTATTAGATTTGAATCCTGCAAACAATAATAACTCTGATTATGACCAATGGTGCCTTTGAACTTCAGTAGAAGTTGGCAGGGCTGGTCCTTAGTTGGTGGCAATCCATATCTTCAGGTTCCTAGCACTGCAGATACTGAAGGGGTTTGGGAGATGTGTAGGCATTGGTAGCATGTTCTCCCCACAAGTAACAGAGAGGAGGCAGAGCTGTCACTGCTTCACCTGAGGGGGACACGGGGTGACCCTGCACCTCTGGAGTTGTTACTCAGCCTGCAAGATATTTAGGTAAAGGGGATGCACTGACATTGGGCTCTCAGTTGCACCCCTTCAGGGGTTGTGCTGGCTGGATTGCTGCTCCTGGAGAGACCGCCAGGAACCAGGGCAGGGATGGCATGAAAGTACAGCCACCAAGGCTGGGCAGGCCAGGACCCTGCCAGAAACTTTGCCTTAATGGAGGAAAACCACCAAAGTTCATCTGCTTTAGCTTCCCTGGGATTTAATGCTTTCTGCTTCAGAGGTGTAATTTTGGTGCCTAAACATACAAGATCTCTTAGATTTCCAGTGTTCCTCAGACTTGCCTTCAATACAATGATTTTTTGCTTCCTCTTGTAGCACTTGGCTGAACAGAAAAGATTTTTCCTAAAGCATGGTATTAAAATGGAAATACTCATTGCAAAAGATATTCACCTATTATTAGAGGGCAGTTATTTATTCTTATAAAACTATTTTTCCTCTTCAAGTATAGGGTACTGTTTGGCATCATTTATTAAGTAATGGTTTTCAGCAATGATTCAGAAAATTATGAAATTTTTGGAATCTGATTTCATAAGGTTATTGATTTCTGTCCAGTCAGCAGTTAGAACTTTAGGCAAATGGACAACCACTGGGCAAATAATGCTGGGTCATAGATATGACTAACACTTTCATGGGTTTTGCAATATCAATATTTGTAATCTCTGCCACGGTATCCGATGTAGCAGATTTTGCCAGATTCTTTGTCTTTATGACAGTGACTTTATAAGGTTATTTTCTATGTGGCTATTTCAAAATGAAATAATTGTTGCAGCTGTGAAATAAATAATTAAAATGTAAAGTCCGCTTTCCCAAATTAATTTGTTCAAAGAAATATTAGCCAAGTAATTCAAGAGCCTGGAAAAAAATTTCTCAGAAGATAGCCAAGGGCTGCAAAGAAAAGCAATCATTCATTTCTTAATTGACTGGGAAATTTTGAATACTTTTTCTGTTCTGTGGTTGCTTGAGTTTTGATTTTCTGTACAAAAGAGAAGCCTAAATTTAATTTCTGAAGAAATACCAAAGATATTTGCCAGTACAAATTACCATGTCAGTAAATCTTAAGGAGCCCATCCTTCATATTGCACTTATATTTACAGATTAATTAAATTTATAATTCCCAATTTCTGAAGATATGGTCAGCATCTAAAATACATTGATAAAATTTTATAAAGAAAAAAAGTTTACCTCTGAGTTAAGCAGGTTCCTTTCCTCACTTGCTAGACAGGTTATATCTTTTAGGAATTGCACCTGTAAGAAAAAGTTTACTCATATGCAACCTGGAGCAGTTGAACAGTGATTTAAAGACAAATGGGAGTGTATGGGATAAACCAATCAACAGCTGCTACACCCAACAACTCCCTTTGACAAACTTGCGTCAGCTCTTAAAAAAACGTGGAAAAAAAAGAAGAAAGGTAAATCAGTTTATTGGAGCACACTGAGGGCAAACATCTCAGTTACCGGAGCTATTTGCTCTCTGAGCTGAGCGCTATTTCAAAATGCTTCTCCCCAGAACACGCCACCCAAGCTTGATCACACTTTCATTTGACAGTCTGGGTTTTTGAATAATGTGCCTGCATTAATCTTGCAGTAGCACAATAATAAAGAGCCTGAAAAATAAGTTCTGGAAGAAATACCTGTTTGATCCCACACTGTTCTTATCTCTGTGACAACAGAGCTACATCTTGCACTGCCTGTCTGGACTTGGTCTGAAGTGGGTGCTTTCAAAGGGGCTGTTTGACCTGTGCCTTAGTTTCCCAGTTGAAATATTTAGTGTAATGTCAACTGAGGAGATATATGTCCAGTGACAAATGTTATTCATTTAATGGCAATATAGGCCTGTGGAGAAGTATTTAATTATCTTTGATGTGCCTGCAATACTTCAGAATTTACTGTAGAATTTTATCCAATTACATAATGACCATGATTAAAACCTACAAGTAACCCTCCAGTTCTCCCACCCATGTAAGTTTTGTGATTAAAGCCCTCAGACTGGCCTGACTGTGAAGGCAGGAGGGCAAGTGAGGGGATGTAATTTTTAATTCTTAGAGTTTCCTGTGGAGCACTCAGACTGCTTTAGCTCAGGCTGGGTGACAACCTGTGGGAACCCAACCCTGCTCCAGCGTGACCAGACCTTCTGCTTGCTTGCTGCCAGCTATGCTGTGCTGGTTTCAGAGTTCCCCCCACAAAAAGAAATCTGAGTTCCGATATAGACTCAGACAAATGGTTTAACAAAAATAAGCTCTGTCTCCCTCACTTCTGCATTCCCATGAAAAGACAACTGATTGTA